CATAATGTGTACTGGTGGCTAGATGTGTGCCTTAATTATAACTATTTTGGCTCTGATTAAATCAGATGCACCCTTGCATACATTGATTTCAAACTGGCCATCTAGTAGATGCTCAAGATGATCATCAGTATATTGGCTAGCTTGCTTTATCTGGTAAACCTCTGGTAATTATTATAGGTTGTTGGTCTCTTGTTTGGACTATTTACCAAGTCAATAGGTTTTCACTGATCTCCTTGAAAAATAAAGCCATTCATAGCATTTTGGTGATAAATAAAAGAGCAAAACACTACAAATCTATTATGAATAGTGCTGGTGTAGAAGATTAGGTCATAAGTAACAAAACTAGGGTGTGTGTGATGGAGCCTTTTATTTTACTTTTTATGCAAAATAGACGTAAAAGGGGATATTTACACAACAATTTTGGTTGTACAAAATGTACTTTCATGCCTATTACAGGGGGTTGGGTCATTGTCTCCCTTATGTGTAGATGTCTATTACAACATGGGTCTCTACGTATATAAAGTAGGAGTCACCAAAATGTACATCTGCTATTATGATAATTGATATAACTTTGAATATCTGAAGCACATTTTCCATTTAATAATTCTTAATCCTAAGAAATAAGAATGGAAATAAGATATACTTTATTTGGACTCTATTTCCTATCCATTTTTTAATAGCATGCATTACATGAAAGTGACTTTTCTTTTTTGGTTGCAATTGAAAATATTTTCCTGACTCTCACCCCTATTTTCCTTCCAAAGGCCTACTTTTTTTTTTTTTTTTTTTGGGGGGGGGAGGAGGGTGTTCTTTTTGTACAAAAGATTCACTGTATCTGCCTAGCCGTCCTTATGTAAGCATGTAGCAGCTACCTCACGGCAGGAATAAACATGGCCAACTGCTAGCATATGGACTGGAAATGTCCCTATTTAGATTGAGTACATATCAAGCCCAACCCTCAGACAAGCTGATTTACACATATATCTCACCTTATATTCATGTCTTTTCAACCGTGAAAAATTAACTTGTCTGAGGCAAGGGCGCATATAAGAAATGAGCATCTTTTATCCTCAAGTCATTGTGAGATTCTTCTTTCAATCAGCACTACATGTACGAATAAAGCAATCAAAATATTGATCACAAACAATGATTGGCCACTTATTGCCTTTCTTGTTTACACGGGCACCTTCTGTACCAAATTACAAAATTTCACAGTTGTCACCTTACTATTACTATAGATACGTAGCATTGTTTTTCAGAACCCCCTAAAACACACATTTTCATGAATAGTTGACAAGGTCATTTTGACCTTAATTTTTTATATTTCGAATTCCAAAAAAAAAAAAATTAAATGGATCATAAAAGTTTAAGACCCCAACTTTAATTTGGCATCAATTTTTTCCCATTTATTCACAATTTATTTTTTATGTACAAAGGTGGGCACTTTAACCCTCTCATTGGCACTCATCCTTTACAGAGAGCGACAATCATTATTTGTTCATGTCTATTTGTTCAATGTCCCGCTTTGACATACAGGCCACAACAGTTGCAAGAACTACAGGGTTAGGTTGCCCAGATGTTTCTATATAAAATATAAATGAAGGGCAACGATGAGCATGTTGCTTAAAGACGGGGATTTATTTTGCGTGGAATTGCTAAATCCAAATGTTCGTGAAGTTAAGTAACACAGTTAATCAAAAGAAATATTTTAACAATAATATCAAGATAATTTATAGAAATACAAGTGAATGTATACTAAGCCACGAGGGGGCAGAGCAAAGTTAATGAGTTATAAGCCGATTACGTGTGTGGTAATTGGTCATAAGTCTTACATCAGCTGAGCAGTGAAGAAGTCCAGTACACTACGGGAAATAGAAATTTCGTTTGTAAGAAAAATCAATAACAAAAAGAAAAAAGACACCGGTAACAATACTTTTAGGTCTTAATTTTGGCGATATATATCGGCGAGCGTATCTGCGACACGTTACGTAACCGGAAATGTTCTATGCCGTTTCAAAAACGTGTTTCGTCAGCTGTAAAACGCAACATAGAATCTACTGTTATTGACAAAAATAAGTTTTCTTCTCTCTCTATGAATACATTAAGGAGCTTGAGAGACACGCGAAAAAAATTGTGATGGGAATGGCTAAATGAAAGAAATTCAAACGAGGGTTGCTTGCATGATTTGAAAAAAAAAATGCTTGTTAGCGGGATATCGCATTTTGTGATGTTTGGAGAAAATTAATTTCAAAATAACTCAGCAAGCGGGAAGAAATAGTTCAAAATATAGGCAAAATCTGAAACTCACAAAAAATCTGTTACTTGCATTACAGTGGTAAGAATAATTTTGTTTCCGTTGTACACCGGTTTAACAACGTTCGAAATGTTTTAATCCCTATCTTGTGAAAAGAAAGGGGCGGACAAACAATGGAGGGCCGTATAAATCCCTTCAAAATTCGAACGCACAAACACAATAGTTTAGGTGGAATAACACAATACTTAAGACGAGTGAACCCCATGACGCCAGTTTCTGTGGTCCAGCGCGGGCGCGACAATCCGCTATAACTAGGTGTAATTAACAGCAGGATACATCAGCCAGAAGGTCCCCCTTGTTTGTTGCGGCGATAGGATTACTAGACCTTTGTCCTAACTCAGTACTTAGGAATAGGATGCTTGGATAAAAAGCTTCTATTCAACTCGCTTTGACCTAGGGCGTGATGCTACTATCATCCGATGAAACATGTAACTGAACCCTCTACCTGAACCTCAAGTCCCTTTAGCTGAAACAAAAACTGCCCCTTGAACATGTCCATTTTTTAATCGTCAAATGATTTGTGATTTCATTGAACGTCGTTGATCGAAAGCTTTCAAGTGACAATAACCGAACCGTGTGTTGATTATTTATTTAAGCGTAATTAAGTTTATTCATCATGATCTATTTTGTAAACAATACTTGCCTAGATTGTGCTTGGATTGATCATCGTCACTGTTTAGCTACTCGCCTCTAATGCGTGCTGAACGACAGACAACTTATAAATATTCTATGTGTTACTGTGCAAATTAACACATTTAGTTAAAATATAACGAAGTCGGTGATTTAATCCATCCAACATATTTATATCTGTTCTTTAAAAACAAGTGTAAGGTTAACGCCAAATCAAAGCAAGCCTTGCAGACTGGTTTTGTTTAAACTGTCGTATATTAAGTAAAGCTAAGTAAAGCCTGATTCTACTTCGCAGTGTTCATCCCAGCTATAAAACTGCATGAAGGATAACAAGACTCCGTAGCGAATTAACTTTCACAATGCCCTGTGCTTCAGGTTTCCAGGAGTCCCGTGTAACACAATAATATCGAAGAGTATGGCCTGAGAGTAATACACATATGAGGCCGTGTATGAAAGATTTTACAAATTAGAAATTCAAGAATTTAAACATGCTAGGTACATGCACATCACTTAATAAGTCATTTCACAAAAATCGCATCTAATTGTCTAGATTAACCTTTACTTTTATCGATCTCATCGCCTTGTCTCAACCACCTAAAAGAAATATAGTGAACATGAGCAGGCCTACCCAACTACCAGACTCGGCACCAAAGGATCCTGAATTAACCGGTATATCGGACCACACTACCCGTTTTCAAGGTGTGTGTCAGATCGCATTTCGGAGTATCATCACCCAGAACAAATTTTGTAGCACGACTGCGCGCTCATCCACGCTCGGCTGAACAACCTTAAACTGTACTCTTACTTTAGAGTACTCTATTTTATTGTCTCTATGGGGATATATGGATACTTTACGACATTCGGTTTGAATGTTTTAACCACTTTTGATAGGGCTTTTTTGCATTTTATTAGATTAATGTGGCAGTCTAAGGTTCATCTAGGTGGCTTTCAAATTTATGCACCCGGTTTTAAAATCATATAGCGATTTTACGACAATCGTTTACTATCCAATCAAGGTGACAGCCGAGCATGCCAGGGCTCATCCTGTCGGTGTTCTGGCTGATACTCCGAAATGCGATCTGACACACACCTTGAAAACGGGTAGTGTGGTCCGATATACCGGTTAATTCAGGATCCTTAGGTGCCGAGTCTGGTAGTTGGGTAGGCCTGNCAGTCATGTGGTGTGTGTTTATAAAACTGTGTGGCTGTTTTTAAGTTTGGTAAATTAATCAGTCTAGTGCAAATGTCACTATAAATGTCTTATTATTATCTTTTAACAGAGGAGCTGAACCTGGGATTCCTTTCACAACGATCTGTTAATTAGTATCTTGGTATGCAGCACATGTATACCACGTATCAGTGCTCACACATGAGGTCTGCTGAATCTAGGGACTTTGATCTTAGTTCTTAACATGTTGTAACAGGTTTTCAGATCATTGGCTAGTGACTCTAGTCATACTGAGTGAACCCTCTCAGTGTCTCAGTGTGAGTCATCCCCTTGACTCCTGAGCTTGAAGTCACTATTCACAATGAGAAGTATACTTCACTGATATAATATCAGCTGTTCCAGGTCACTTTGAGATGTATGGAATTATGCTGCAGGGGGATTTTATGCAATTTCACAAGTTCACTACACAGTTTGCTTCCTGTTGTTAAATTTGATTAATTAATTGGCCTTTTTGATTGGGGGGTGGGGGGGGGGGTCATTTTGGTGATCCCCTGTGCAATATCCAGGCTGATAATTTGTCAGTCTCTCAAAGTGAACCAGAACAAAGCTATTAGTGAAGTATATGTGAAAAGTTCTCCAGATATCAGTGACTTCCACTGGTCATGTATTGTGTGAGCTTGAATAACGTGCATACGTATTGCCACTTCTCTGGACATACATGTTCACATGGTTTTATCCTCACACAATATAATTTTAATTAGCTGCATCATTGTTTTAGAAAGTTCCATATATTTTAGTTGTAAAAAACATAATGACGTGACTTCAGAGTGATTTATATTTGTTTTCCTCTAAATACAAATATTGAAATTTATCAACATAGAAATCATCGCATTTTTTTGTTCTGTTTCAGAATCAAAGCCATAGAAACCAAGGAGAAGGATGATGACACAAAATGGCTGACCTACTGGGTGACTTACAGCGTCTTCTCCTTGGCAGAGTTTTTCTCTGATATCTTCCTTTTCTGGATTCCTTTCTACTGGTTTCTTAAGGTAATGGCCACAATCACTATGTCAGTGGCACACACACACTGACACAAGCTGTGGCGCAGACACACACACTGACACAAGCTGTGGCACAGACACACACACTGACACAAGCTGTGGCATGGACACACACTGACACAAGGTGTGGCACAGACACACACTGACACAAGCTGTGGCACGGACACACTCTGACACAAGCTGTGGCACAGACACACACACTGACACAAGCTGTGGCATGGACACACACTGACACAAGCTGTGGCACAGACACACACTGACACAAACTGTGGCACAGACACACACTTGTTTGTTGTAAGTTTAGTGTACACTTCTTGTGTTGTAATGTAAGAATGTCATTGTTTTTATATATAGGAAAAAGAATGACAAAAAAAAACAACAAAAAACTTAAAGATAAAGCAATTGATTCTCGGTCTTTTTTCAGTGTTTATTCCTAGTCTGGTGTATGGTTCCTGTTGATGCTTTCAATGGCAGTATCATCATCTACTACCGCTTTATCCGACCATTTGTCCTGCGTCACCAGGACTCCGTGGACAAGACACTGGGCAAGGCCAAGGACTTGGCAGGGGACGCTCTCAAAGAAGGTGAGGGCAAGTCACTGAGCAAAAAGATATTTTTCTTGGAGATCTTTTACATGTCCAAAGTAATAAAGATGTACTCAAGATGTAATATCTGTTTATTGCTCCTGATTGTGGTAATTGTTTAAGCTAAAAGACAGATTTTGGTCAAACATCTTTTTTATGCCCAAGTTATAAAGATGTAATAAAGATTTAGGTATGTTTATAGCTCCCGATTGAGGTATCTATTTTTGCATGCTTGTTTCACTAGAATAATTACCAGTGTTACATCCTCTTTTCATCCCAGGTGAGAAGCTTGCCCGTGAAGCGGTTGTTGAAGGCAAATTGGATTAATACTGCAGATAGCCAGTCAGCGACGCACCTTCACCCTAACTGGAGCATTGCCCTTCTATAATTTACACAGACTTTGTACATTTCTGTCCCACAATTTAGGTGCAAGTTAAAGTTGAAACAAGCGGGGGTTTGGTTTTCGTTTCCAGTTGAAGGACAAACATTGTAGGAATGTGGGTGTGACAGCGTCTCACCTAACACAATACAGGAAGTGGACTATGATGTCTACCGCTAACATTGTGTTGGCTGTGATTCTGTCACAACTAACACAATAACAATAATGGGATATGACATTTATTTACTCAATGTGTTAAGATGTTTTCTCTCTGTGGGGGCAGACTTGGGTTGGAGCAATGTGGTCTTATGTTGCTTCAGCTCTAGAGGTGCTATGTACACAATTCAGGGTGTACTATTACTAAGGACCTTTTTCAATTCCTGACACACTGTAGATGTCAAGGTGACAGTATCTTGCAAATGTGGTTTAATTATTAAGAAATGAGGTATAGATGTGGATATAGATGTTTAATAAGGACATGACTTCACTCTTGGTGTCAGGGTCATCTAGTGCAATCATATCAGTGGTAGGGGCAGGGGGGATTGGGGGGGGGGGAGAGGAGTTGGAAGGCAAGGGTCTGTAAACCAGGCTGGTCCAGCAGGAACGTACTTTGATCTGACCGGTGTGAGTTTGATCAGCACAATTATATATATATATAAATCTGCCAGTGTGTTTATTTATTTATGAATTACTATAGATAAAAATAGATTTCACCGAATGGATTGTTAATACCTCTAACAAATAATGACTAAATTTGAAGAATGTGAAATTTATAACCACACAGTTTTATAGTTATTATTCACAATCATGTCAGGAGATGGCTGGGGGGATGTTTTCTTGTCCAGATACTCTCATGTCAGTGAATTCCACTTGCTATCATTGTACATAATGAAAGTAACATGTATGATTTGAATTATTTTTTTTTTGCTCAAATTTCCTTTCGCACTTTTGTACTGGTATGGGATTTTTAAAAAACTTATATGGATGTACAAATGCAGTGTGCTGCATATAGCTTGATACCTTGAATATCTGTGAAATAGGAGTGTTGGCAAATATATAAATTATTATAACACCATTAGTCTGAAATAAAATGTGCTGCTGCCTATAAATTGTTTTCTTTATTCATTAGAAAAGTAGTATTTTTCTTTGTAAAAAAAGTCATCAGTAAGACTACATTCCCACAGATTAAGATCGATCCATCTGGGAGTTCATGCTAAATTGCTGTCAGCTCAAGAGGCTTAAATGTCTGTCACGCCTACCGAATTGGCTAGGGTAAAGATAATTACCCCCTAACAGCTTTACTAGGCGTGACAGACATTTAAGCCGGCCAAGTTGACAGCAATTTAGTGAGACTTCCCAGGGGGATAGATCGATCTAAATATCTGTGGGAATGGTAAGGTACAATTTTTTAACAACAAAGACTATATTAAGAAGGCATCATAACTTGATTTTGAACCAGGCCTTTGGCAGTCTAATGTATGCATACCACTTGTATATTGTACCACTTGATGGAAACCAAGAGCCAACAAATAAACAAAGTTTTATTACAACAGTGCCATTTGTGTAGCAAATACATTTTCTTTTTACATACAAAAAGCCCTGTTTGATTGAAATGAGTTTTAAGAAATCACAGATGCAAAATCACAATCCTTCATCACTTCTAGTAATGGCTACATCTATGTTGTTCATGCTCTGCTCCTGTACATCACCTAGCAACACCATTACATCACTTAGTAACATTTTAAAACAACTGCCACATGCAATGTGAACTTGGAATGTACGTACACAGAGAAATGTCTGACTAGACGCTATAACGAGTCAGCTTTTATAAATGATAAAAAAGCAAGCACACACTGCCATGTCAGAACCACTGGTTCCTTTGCTTTAACCCTGTGGCTATTTTCTATCTCTACCACTTGGTGGCAACAAAAATTCTCTTGGAAAAATCATCCCAGAGAAATTGGCAACCCCTGAAAGGGATATCAAACTTGAATAAGTTCCATTGAAAAATAACAATGGAAAAATGCATCCTTCGTGTCCTCCCTACCATATAAATCAGAAGTCATTATTTGCCAATCTAGTTACAAATGTTGAGATTGACTAAGACTAAGAGTAAGTGCCACTTAATTCTTCAATTTAATCCCCTAACCTCCTCCATCTTCTGTGGTGTAAGTCTGTGATGTCATGAGAAGGCAGCGAGGTGCCCTGGGCATAAATAGCAGGTATCCAGACTTAAATGACTTTTAAGCCCACATTTTCAACCTTTCTCTAGGTCTTCCATGCATTTTTTCATGTATGTTTTCCTATCGGCCATGTCCATCACAGCAGACTGTATCAAACTGACCATGATCTGTGGCCAGACCTGGTACAGAGTGGTCAGCTTTCTGTCCACCACCACCGCCTCCCTGGAGATCTGACGGACAAATTTCTGGGCAAAGTCTAGTTTTGATTTCTGCTCCTGTAACAACAAATTCCAAGCAAATCAATGATCTGATATTGCAACACCACAGGTGGGAAGTGATGCAGACAAAACAGTGTATAAAGAACCTACTTACAATGACTGTTATAATATTGGAAGACAACGTAAACTCTTCTACTGATGTGAACATCACTCAAATCTTACCTCTCCTTTCTTGACTTGTTCTTCTAGTGGTGGATAGACTAGTCCAGCCCTGCCTATAGATTCTATAGCACTCTTGTGTTCAGCTAGTTTGCCATCAGGAGATTTCCTAGACTTTTCCTCTGACAAAGAAAGTAACTGTTTTTTCCTGGAATTAAAACAACAATAATAATGGTATCTGTTACATAAGATTAATAAAATCTGTAAGATTATCAGGACAATGATACAGGGATAATGGTGTATGCTCACTGCTGATAGGATAAAAGATACAACTGCAGTGAGGACTCACCTGTATTCTCCCAGTAATGTTAACAGTCTGGACTGGGACAGCTGGGAGGTGGTGATGTGGGACAGAGGACCAAACGACTCACCTGTTTTCTCCCAGTAATGTTAACAGTCTGGACTGGGACAGCTGGGAGGTGGTGATGTGGGACA